TTTTTTTTTTTTTTTTTTTTTTGGGAGGGCTTTTCGCAGTAATCCTATCTCCGTCTTATTTTCACGAAAAAAAAAATCATTCCAGGTACAAATCCAGCATTCGGCCGCCACTAAGTGCTGCTGTATATCCAGGTCAACTTGTTATCCACATCGAACTTCCTAGACGTTGATTTTCCGGACACCTGTGTGACTGGCATTTTCTAACCGAATATACCATTTAAAAAGGCAAGCGATGCGCAACCGGTGCAGAATCTGATCGAAAGAAGCCCAAATTGTCCAAGGATGTGCCGGAGTGCGTTGAAAAACGAATTGCTGGAATATCAAATTTAAGAATTAAATTGGTTGAGGAACAAATAACACCTTTTTGGCCAACAAACGTGAAATTTTTGATTCAGCTCGGCAGTTGTGCTAAGCTGTGTCAAGTTTTAGTAATTGTTGTTGGCTTGTTTCGTTCCGAAAATCGACGCAGCACAGCAGCGGGTGATCGAATTGAATTTTGATTGTTTTTATGTATTCTCTCCAGTTGTTTTTGATTGCTTCCATGCTCATTCGTAAAAAAAATTTACGGATTTTCAATCAGCACATCATCAAGCAGTTGAATCACGATTAGATTCCAGTTCACTGCTTCAATCAAAAACGCACAGCATCGGTGCTAAAAAGTCTGCATAAGCGTCATTTTTTAAGACTCTAAAGAATTGATGCAGGAGATGTATTTTGGTACAACTTCAGATATTTGGTCGTGCATAACAGAACATCGGCGTGAGCCGCGCATTTCCTGCACAACACGGAAGCCGCGCAATTTTGGTGGGACCTGTCCGTTGCAAAAACAAAATAACGCGTACAATGGTGAATCATTCCTTTGCCTGCTTCTCGGACGGAAATCGATTCATCCTCAACCACCTGCCAATGAGCTTCGTTCCGAGTTTTCCCTTTTGCTGGTTTCCCTGGCACGTAGGAGGAAGCTTTCACAACGACAGAATGATGCAGCAGTGTGAGTGTCAAGAACTGAGGTTACCGAGAAAACCCGGCGCGAGAAGGCGATGACTGCAAACAGAAAGATAGGCCTACCTTGCGGTGCATTTTACATTGAGGTCTAGCACCTCGTATCCCCAGAAATACAATGACCGATGACCGTGCGCTTTTGTCCAACCCTGAAATCCGGGCGAAACTGTCCGCCAGCAAACTGTTAGCTCCATAAAAAGAGCACTTGGGATTACGCCAGATGGAAGGTTGCCAAATTCCGTGAAATTTCCGGGCTGTTGGTTAGTTTTCGCTGCTGTGCTGCTTTGCTTTCCCAAATTTTACACTCGTTTATTGGGCGTCGGTGCGTTGTCCCCCTTCACTCCCCTCAGCTGATCATATTCGGGTGCGGGGTTTTCGTTGTTGTCGGGCCTGCATTCACGCATAATTCGTTTATTTTCACGGAGAAATCCACTGCGGCGATGACATATCTCGACCCGGAAGACTAAATATGGGCAACAGCAATTCCTTTTGTGAAATACGATTTATAAGAATTTGTACGACGGACTTCCAAAACACTTTCCGTATTGGAGGAGCAAGCGATGAAAGGTTCAGTTATAAATACGTAGAATCAGGGAAAAAAGGAAAGCTTCGACGACCGGACCGTGCCCTAAAGCGGAAAATAGGGAAACAAATAACGGATTTAAACGAATTGGAGTGACTCACTACCGTTTTATCAGAGACTTACAAACACGCACCTTAGGGGTGCACTAAGAGGGGCTAGCCTGTCGTTTTTTCACTGAGGAAGAGCAGATACAATCGTGTGAAGAGGAAGAAATGCAAGGCAATACGAGAACAGCATTTTTTGAGTGGTGGCAGAGCAAAACCTAGCCGAAAGGACGCAAAACCAAGCGAGAAGCGCCGAAATACCGTGAGAGATAAAGAACTGGAAAAGCAAAATTTAGCGCTAAAATGCCTTGAAATGTCACTGTAAATTAATTGAAGGAAGAAGGCAGGGAGGCGGAAGGGGAAGCGTGTCTCAAAAGACCCCAAATGGCGAGACGTCATCGATTTTAATAATAGAAACACATGTGTAAAGATATACATTGCCTATTCATTGTTTTGTTTGTTGAGGCGAAATCGAGAAATTTCATATAAAAACAAAAATCGCTTTCAGCGATGGCTTCCCCCGCCTTCTGAAGTGACAGTTTCTCTTTTATACTTTTTTGCATCTAATGCAAGCGCAAAAATACATATTGTTTAGAGTCCGTTTGTGTTTATATGTGTGTGTTCGGAAGCGAGTGAACTTTGTCACCCACTTTCAACTCAGCAACGGGGAAGGGTGGGGGCCAGTATTGGAAAAGCATATTTCCACCCTATATGCACTCTCCCATTTTAAAGCCAACACTCATGCGCTCCTAGATCTTACGTACGAACGTGTTAAATGTGTAACTGTTTTGGTGGAAAAACGATTTCGGGAGTCGGTAAATGTAGAAAACTAGAATTTTGGAAGAATATTTTCTCTCCATGTATAAGCTAAAGATTTCAAATTCAGCTTTCGCATATATTTGTATTATGCGTACAGTCACATCAAAGTTCACAAGTTGGCACCAAGTAAACCCGGAAACTAGGCGAAAAGCAATAGCTATAGGTTTGCTAGAATATTTATCGTCCATTGGGAAATCGAGTTCCTATTTACACTTTGCGCCACGCCTTGGAGCACGGGGAAGATATTTTGTAGTAAAGTGGCGACTTCGCTTACCGGAGAAGCTGCGAAGTTGAAACTTTACAAGGATATTCTTTACTCACATTTGGCGTAAACCCAGCTTGGAAGCTAAATGCTTATAGGCGGGCATGACAAACACTCAATTTCGTCGCAAACTCATAAACAAATGCATGCATTTTGTGAATTTCATCATCCTTGTTCCCCGACATCCTGTTCGTTGCGAAATTTGCATTTTTCGATGAACCACCGGTCACCGGAAATCATTCATTCCGCTTGATGCAAAATTTACAGCAATATGCATGACTTTACGCGGCCTCGTAATGCAGCTACCGACCCAGACAATGACATTTTCTTCGTGCCTGCAAAAAAGGCCAAAACGAAATCAGCATAAGTCCACGTGTTGAACTGTAAAGCAGCAACCATTCATACTGTTAACGATCTTACTGCTTCAAAAGCGCTTAATCGCATCGTCGGGCGTGGTGGGTCACTAATGGAGTTATTTTCATTGTTTTGCACGCTGTTTCTCATCCTTTTTTTCGCTACATCCTTCTACAATTTAGTCCACTCGTCAGTGGTCCAAAATATTTCGAAATGAGGATGGACTCTTGTCTTCATTGTCCGAAAGCTGGCCAAATCATTGTTTTCACTTCACCTTTTAACTCTTATTGACTTTAACGGAGCCGTTTTTGTGCGTCTTTGCTATACAGCGATATAGCGCTGCTACAGTGAGCAAAAACACATTTTGCCGAGGGGTTGTTCGTGTGTATGTGCTCGGGAGCGAGTGAACTTTTTCACCCACATTCAACTCAGCAACCAGAAGGCTGAAATTTTGGGGTCATATTCCCACCCCATGTGTTACCCTCCCGTTTTAAAAACATCGCCCATATACGTCTAGATCTAGCATACGGAACCCTGAAAAAATATGCTAATTTCTTTAGTCAGCTAGAAAAGATAGAGACCTAAAACTTTTCATGAATACTTCCAGTGCATGTATAAGCTAAAGTTTTCAAATTCAGATATCACGCATACTTGCACCTCACATATGGTCATGTCAAATTTCGCAGTTAGCATTGTACCAACTCGGAAATAAGTGGCCAGCGCACCGACTGTCGGTGCGAAGATGCGTTTTTTACATATTTCCCTGCAGATTCTTGTCGCTAACTGCACTGGTTTTTTCGGCAAATGCTACTGGCTAAGATAATTAAGACTAGCCACTAGGGCTTTCTGAAAACATCCCTTTAAAATTTTATCTTTCTGGTTTTCCCGGTTTCCGAGTTAGCAACTTACCCGCAAAAAACTTTCACGGGGACTAGGCTTGAACTCATTAATATCTACGTGGGCGTGGAACATCCCTTTAAAATTCCAGTCCTCTAGCTTTTCAAGTGCTCGAGTTAGCGACTTACCCGAAAGAAATTTTGGCGGGACCACACGCGGGTAAGAGGGCCCATTTTGGAGACGGGGGCCCATACACGTATGTAGATTAAGTTCCCAAATTTTCAGCACTGCGGCTTTTGTAGGTCTCGGGATGAAAAATCGGTACAGACGAAAACACAGACACACAGACAACCTCTCGTCAGTATGCGTTTTCTGCATTGCATATATGCAAAAAACGCATAAATAGTCGAACAGTAGCTAAAATTGAGTTGTGGTTTGCACTTGTGGCACGCTTGGTTCACTTCAAAAATCTTTGTAGCAAAATGGCTATTTCACTTACCAGACAAGCTACGAAGCTGAAACTTTGCAAGAATATTCTGGTATTTATATGTGGTCTTCAGTTTGGAGGTGAAATTTCTTGAGCGTAAAAATGACAAATGCTCAGTTTTATCGCAGACTCAGAAGCAAGTGCATTTTATTATGCGTTTTTGCTGTGCAGCGCTATAGCAGCGCTATAGCGCTGCTACAGCCAGCAAA